TACTTTAATCGCACCGATCGACGCTTTCTGGATCGGAAGGTGCAGAGCGGAAGGCGAGAGGCGCCGGCGGGGCAGAGGATGTTATTCAGAAGCGATAAAATCGCCGTAGTGCATGTAATGACAAACACATGCGTTCTCACCCCGATCCCTGGCCGCGGGGTAACGTATAGCTTGCCCTATCGGGCCGGATCTATATAACGCGGCATATGTCTAGGTCATTAATTAGCATCTGGAGCCAATTAAAGTAATTACGAATTCGACGGTGAAATATCGCCACGAGCTACACACGGCCTAGAAGCGTTCCCTCGGCGCGCTGGCGCGATTCCGGAGCCTACGGCGGTATAGACAGCCGAACCGCACCACGTCAGTTTTTACCGGGCATCAGTCACGTCGAAGCCGATCGATTGTTCTACGAAACTATAACGCGGATATTCATGTTGTCGCTATAGGACAATGTAAAGTTCCTCCGCTCACATTATACGACCGCGGTCTATTATGCCCGATATCGCGATCTCGTTACTAATGGTATCATTACTATCTGTCTCGAAATATTCGGAATCTCATCAACGGCCGCTCGTGCGAGCGGGTTATCGGTATGAAGAATTGAATATTGGACGGCGCCGTGCAACACTTGATCGTCTGCGAAGTTGCAAAGATATCGATGAATTTTTCTCGACTTGACAACTGATTTGAACAAACACGATTCAGTGCAACCAATTGATTCGAACGAATTATCGGTATGAAGTTATCGGTATACACCTGATCGTCTGCGGAATTGCAAAGATATCGATGAAATTTTTCTCAATTTGAAAGCTGACTTGAATAAATCAGTGCAACTAATTGACGATTGATTCAAGCGGATTCAATCGAGGATCGTTTAGCTGACGATTGATTTCAACGAATTTAATTAAACACCGTCCAATTGACGACAGATACGAAGGGAATCAAAGGTCGTTCGATTGACGACTGAACTTAGCGAATTTAATCAAAGGTCGTTTGATTGACGATTGATATGAGCAAATTCAATCGAAGACCGTTCGGTGACGATTGGGATATGACGGTCGGTGTCCCCCTCAACGCGCTCTCACTTAGTGCTCCTCAATCGTCGACATGTCTCGACGATATGCTCCGGATAAGAATATCCGCAAAACCAATTGTAATCGCGGATCGTCTCCTGCACGAAAGACATACGAATAAGTCCGTGTCGTTTCTCACACTGAAGAAAAGTCACCCAAAGACGTATTGTATCCATTATACCCGTTAGTGCAACAATAAGTTGCGTTGATAACTCGCTGATAAAATCGCGATCATTGAATCAATTGACAACTCTCATGGCAGCAACTGCACAACTCGTTCAGTCGACTAAACGCTTGCTTAAACGAGCTCTGTTCGTTCAAGCAAAGCCTCCCCAATGCAATCAGCTTTTTTTGCTCTCAGTGCAGCAAAGATTGATAACACGCTGTATGCACAATGCACGACGCTCGTGTCATGACACTTTTTGCGAACGAGTGCCACGTCATCTACTTCCGACCGAGTGCGAGCACACGGTGAGAAATTCAAATCAGTTACGAGCAGCGTATCGCAGTTTGATTACAAAATAGGAGTACGTGTTGATCGTTCACACTTCTTCGCGATGGCGAATATTTAGCGCCGATAATAACGAGATGCATCGGCGCGATAATCGCTCGACGCTACGAATTATTGCCGGCGAACAAATCTTTTTTCGCTTGAATCGCGCGCATCACGACCACTGAGAATCGCGCGGGACGCGTTCGAAGAAAACCATTATCCTACAACGACTTCCGCTGCTAATATAACGATCGCGCGGTAGTTCTGCGCGGGAGGACGATCGTTATCGGCGATCTCCTCTCTCGCGATCCTCTCCCTATCAGCTCACGAGTCCTCGGGATTTCCCCCGCCACCACACAAGCGTTTCCTGACGTGTGTCCACGTGACAAATACGCAGGATGCTACCAGACGGCAGCTATCGATACGCATCCGCCATTGGAACAGCCGTATATTACGGCTCGCTCTCGGATATGTATTTATGCTTCCCGTATCATTTCGCAATTATCGATAACATCGTCAAGGCTTTTTGCAGGAAACAATGGGTCATTACTTGCCTACCGTAGCCTGGTGCTTCTCCTTCCCCCCCCCCC